ACAGAGGGTGGGGTACCTATCTATAAGGGCTGAATATGGTACATCGGCCATCAGAGGGAACAGGACAGGGACTAAGTGATAACGTCACTCAGCTTTGAATTTCGGAAGCCTCTTCNATGCTTTGCAACCTATAACAACGTCATCAGCGTATTTACAGCCAATGAATGCAGGAGGAATCAGAAATAGTTTGACATACATTGAAAAGAAAAATGGGGAAAATATTGCACCTTATAGAACACCAGAAAAAACTGGGCGAATGGAGGACTTTTTGCCGTTGAGGCACGTAAACTGCCCTCTATTTGTGAAATAATCACGATCAGTTTTCTAACGTTTGGATTAACATCACTTTAGGTAATCAGATTGAGCAATACTTATCGATCAAGACTGCCGAAAGCGTTTCTGTAGTCTATGAACATCGTTCTGACGGTCTTACTTTTCTTATTGAATGAACAAGGTATGTAACGGCATCAAGTGTTGAGCGCGAAGAGCGATATGCAAATTGATGCATATCGTCTTCCTCAGACTCAGTGACGACCCACAGTAACAAGCATCTCTCAAATAATTTGAGCAATACTGACGTGCAGGCGATGAGAAAATACTTCCCAGGTTCCGTTTTAGGACCTGGAGTTATCTTGGCCAGTTTCCAAATATCAGGGATTTTTGCACTTATCAGACAGTCATTGAATATTTAAGACAATGCGTCTGAAAGGGTGTCTGCATATACTTTGAGTACTACTGGTGATAGTTCATCCGGGCCCGATGCTTTATTCAACTTAGTCTTTAGTAGCTGTTTCAGGACTGTGGCAAGTTCGATAGTTGGTGTCGGCATAGAGCTGACTATGTCTGACAGGGCAGTGCACTGTGAAACTGGACTAAACTCAGGGGAGCACGTTGATAGACTTCAAAAAATTGTGGTCTGTTTGTAAAAACGAAATCAAGTTGTGAATTGAGTCTGGTAGGAAAGTGTACCAAATTTTGTAGGCCCAGTGTGGTGAGGAATGTTGCATCATGTCTGTTGAA